GAACGTCAACCCCTTCTGATCCACTGGGTCATGTCCTTCATGTCGAACAATGCAGATCCCAATTACGGTCTGCTTCATGGCTTCTTTGGCAATCAACCAATCACAATCCTGTGCAAAACATACAAAATATGCTGCATTTGTATGACATCTAATATTTGATGCAGTACAGGAAATAGATGAAAGTGAACTAGATGATGAAAGAGATAAGCATTTGCTTACATTGTACTCCTTGAACAGCTGTATATGGTCCTCATTCAAGCATACACACGATTTGAGGATGCATTCTCTTTGCACGTCTATGCTGTTAATCTGTAAAAAAAAAAAAAAAGAATTAAACAACTTGCAATAAATGGATATATCTGACATTACAATATTGATAACCAAATTGCAGTGTATAACCAAGTATATACAAAAACAAATAAAAGATCTGTGTGATTTTTTTCCATGTACCAACCTGTGAAATGGGGCTGAATGTTTCTTAATTGTTCAGCCAGTGACTGTCCAGTGGGACTGCTGTAAGATTTCACCTTTTTTCAGGGCAAGTCAGAATTAGATCAAAGAGAACATGTTGTAGGCTTTGCAATCAGGAACAACCTGCTGGGAAGTATTGTTCCTCCAAATTTGGGATCTGAATAAATCCTTTCAATGCAGCTCTACACTACAGCATGATAAGTCAGCATTATCAGTGCTTAGCAACCAACCCTGACACTGACTGAAAGAGAACTTGTCCTTTGTTTCATCTGTCACATTCTGTGTTGCATCAACATACTAATGAATAGGGTCTCACTTGGGAGCCCCAATCATTAAAAAAACAGACCACTGAACATTGGCGAGTGGAATTTGCAAGCCTAGCCACTCCTTCATACACACGGGTTTATAAGGAGGTAGCATGCATCCACTCATTCCGATTTTTGCTTCAGAGCCTAGTGGTTGTCATAGTAAACACTCATTCATTCACCTTGAGTAAATGGAAACCCTATCACTGGAGATTTTGTTTAAACTGCAGACTGCTTGAACAAAGAAGTGGCTTGGCACTCACACATGTTCATTGGCCTGTTTTTTACTACTCAGAGGTGTTTCGGGCTCCAAAGTGACACCCCATACATCAGTATGTAAATGTAACATCTCTGTTGCTTCCTTCATGGAACAAGGGTTACAAAACTAATCGAGAAGTTCAACAGTGTCCCATCAAATCAGCCACAGTTTTTGCTTGGTAACTTTAATGCTAGAGTGGGCACTGACCACAATTCCTGAGCAACTTGCTTGGCAAAGTGTGGTGTTGGTAGGATGAACAAAAGTGGGAAACGCCTACTTGAGTTTTGCAGCCACCAAGGTCAGGTCATTACTAACACTTTCTTTAATATAAAACCACAGGATAAAGCTTCCTGGAGATACCCAAGAAGTAATACTTCGTTACAGTAATTAAATATTTTTTTGGGAGTATTTGTACTTTACTTGAGTTTTTATATTTCAGCCAACTTTTACTTTTACTCCACTACATTTCCTAATTAAAATGTATACTTTTACTCCGATTCATTTCCCCGAAGCATATTCGTTACTTACTACAAAATAGTCAGAAGAACACGGACTGCAGGAAAGCAGGTTTACGAATCAGTGGTCTGGCGTCTGCAAGTTAGACTCCTAAAAACACAGCGCACAACCGCAGATGATTTCGCCATGTTAATACAAACCGTAAACACGCAGATTGGAGTGTGACCTTAAAGAAAAATTTTTATAATAGGTGACTCGAATGTTTCGAGGATCCCCGCTTTCAGTGTGGCAGACTTGCAAATTGACAGCTTTCCAGGTGCAAAGTTTCAACATGCTGGAAACTTAATGGAGAGGGCAACGGTGACCTTAGAACCCGAGGTTTTGATTTTCTCTTTCGGAATAAATAACAGAACACAAAGGTGCATTGTCACAACCACGAAAGAAATACAAAGAACGTACAGAATGACACGGAACTGTACTTCCTGGTGATAAACTTTTCTGATCAGCTACCAGCTGAGGAGCGGATCCACCTCACAAAGATGAACGAGTACATCAGAGATACTCTGAACAGTATTGTGGATCTGCCCTCTGCCCGGTTTGAAGTGGAGAGAGACCTCATCCACTGGACCACAACGACAGCAAAAGCCATCTTAGACCATTGGATTCAAAATGTAAACTTTCAAGGTCCATCAACCTTATAGATGGTAATGACAAACTCATAGTTAATCTTTCAGCCTCTCTCGCCCTCACACCAAAGCAGAGGGCGGTCCTACTTAAAGGCCTTTCTTTTGTTCCAGCACCACGACATTTTAAAACACAAAAGGCTGAATTACTTATAAGTGTACAAAATTACCATAGGAGACTGAAACTAGAGACCTTCTTCGAAGGCAAGAAAAACAGGAAGGAGAAACCCCCCTTCACCCACTGATCAGATTGGTCCCCACCCTTGTCTAGACTCCCCAATCACATTACTTCCATTATTAGGGCAGATTTGTACGCCTTTAAACATCTGCATTGGGGTCTGAGAGAAAAACAAAATCTATCCGTGAGCGAAGGGAAGGCCTTGAATCAACTCAGAAAGAATGAAAACATTGTCATCAAACCGGCCGACAAAGGCAACGCAGTGGTACTCATGGACATTAAGGACTATATTTGGGAGGGGACAAGACAGTTGCAGGTCACAGATCATTATAGCCCCTTAGATGAACCCATATATCCCCAAACACAAGTCGAAGTGAGAGAAATTTTAGAGGAAATGTGCGAAAAGAGAATTATTAGCGGAAAACAGAAGGAGTACCTTCTAGGCCCTGGGACCCCGAGGCCCAGGAGATTTTATCTCCTCCCGAAAATACACAAAAAACCAAACAGTTGGCGCGTACCGAATAAAATACCCCCAGGAAGACCAATCGTATCCGATTGCAGCAGCGAGACATATCATACGGCAGAATTTGTAGAATATTACTTGAATTCGATTTCACAAAAACATAGGAGCTATCTGAAGGACATGTACGATTTTATACAAAAAAAAATAAAAATCTTAAAATCCCTTCTGATGTGTTACTCTTCACCATAGATATAGATAGTCTCTACACGAACATCGAGACACAGGCAGGGATGGAGGCCGTACGAGAGTACATGAGGAAATATCCTGACCCCAAGAGTCCGGATGAATACATTCTAAAATTACTTTAAATTCAAAGTCGTTTTTTTGTCAGGTTGAGTTAATGGTAAATTTTTCTTACAAACAAAAGGCACTGCCATGGGCAAGACCTTTTCCCAGCAGGCCATACATATGTTGGCGTACGATGGGGCAGAGTCAGCGTTAGCCTCATCTCCTCTTAAACAATTCGCATATTTCCGTTTCCTCGATGACATTTGGGGCATCTGGGTTCACTCTAAAGAGGAATTTCATAATTTCATTAATCACCTAAATCAACACCCACAGGTCAATAAAGGTCAAATTTGAGATAGATGCTACACAGGTTAACTTTTTGGACGTGGTCACATACAAAGGGCCGGAATTTCAAAAAGAGAGCCAACTGGATTACAGGGTTTACTTCAAAGAGACAGACACGCATTGTTTGCTACACAGAAACAGCATTCACCCACGACACTTTCAGGGGCATCTTAAAGTCACAACTACTCAGATTTCATAGAATCTGCTCCCAGGAGGAAGAGTTCCTGAAGGCGGTGAAAATACTGTTTAGTGCCTTAAGGGCAAGAGGATATTCCAGATCCACCCTGAGAAAAGCCCTGAGACTTTTTAGAAGATCCATTAACAATCCAGTAAACCCAGACATGAACACACAGTCCAAAGAGAAAATAATCCCTCTTGTGGCATTCTATTCGACCCAGAGCACACAGCTTAATGGTGCAATTAAGCAAAACTTTGCCAAAGTTTTAACTGGTACACAATACTTGCAAAAGCACAAGCCTATTGCAGCCTACAAAATAAATAAAAATCTCTTAACTCCTTAGTACAAAGTAGAGTGGGCACAAACCAACCTAAAAGGAAGCTGGTCTCCTGCAAGTATTATGTACCACTGAAATGGGTGAAAAACAGAACTAATAAACAGATTTTGGAATCATGGATAATATTGCTTGTTTTTGCTCAATTTTGCCAACAAAAATAGTTCCAAACAAAGATCACAGCACTGTTTTGCGTCTCTGAGCAATGGATGGTGTTTACTTATTGAATGAATCAGCTTTTTGAACGAATCGGTTGAATAAATGATTCAGATTCACTCATTAGCACACGGTGCATTCCAAACGGGATATATCACCCTCCGAAGGGCACTTCGGAGTTAAAACAATCATGGCCGCCATATTGAATGGTCGTTCCAAACCGAAGTGCTCAAAACGGGCCACTTTAAAGGGCCCTTCGGAATGAAGGATTTCGAAGGGTACAACTGATGGACACTTCGGGCTCCCATGATCCTTTGCGCAGATTCTTTGCATGATGACGGCGCCTCCGTGTGGGCAAGTGATGATGACGCAGAAGGGCACTTCAAGAAACAGTTGTTTGGTCCAACGCAGGGAGAGTCAAATGCTTTGTTCCTGAATGAATTAGCCATTTGAACGAATCTGTTGAATCTCAATGACTCACTCATTAACAGTCACTTGCTGTCACCTACTGGCGGTTTTAATTTCACATTTTGACTAATTTTTTTCATGTTTTAAAATCATTTCAAATATCAGTATTCAACGTTTTATGTTAAAAACAAAACATTATTTATCCATCTGTAACTGTAGGTTAAATGCATCCATGTCCCCTCTAAGATACATTAAACTGTGTAAATATATAATTTAATAAAACTATTTTTCTAGTCAACTAGTAGTCATCCATTTTAGCCATTAGTCGATTAATTGCACATTTATATTAGATCATTTTTCAGCATCTGGCGAAGCTGATATATTGAAAGGTTATTTGCTCAAATCTAATTTTTGATTGTAAAGCTGTAGTCCCTGTACTGAATTATGACCTATTGTTGTTTTGTTTGTTTTTCCAGTTTGGTCGGAGCTGGTTGAACTTGATGGCAGCGCTGACCAGCATGTGGAGGCTGGTGTGTCCATTGAGGTGGTTCCTCCTACACCTCAGAGCAGAGCCCTGAATACACCCGCTCCTCAGAGCACCTCAGAGAGAAAAAAGCTGCTCAAGCCAAGCCTTTCTTCCCAGCGCACCACCACTCTACATCAGGTCAACAGCGTAACTGCAGAATGAAGAATTCACTGCTGTGGCTCTATTTCAGTGTTTCTCAAACCTGTCCTAGGGACCCCCAAAACAGCACATTTTGTATGTCTCCCTGATTGGTTACACCCATTTCAGGTCTTGTAGTCTCTGCTAATGAGCTGAAGAGTTCAATCAGGCGTGTTTGATGGAGGAGACATACAAAATGTGCAGTGCTGGGGGGTCTATAGGACAGGTTTGTGAAGCACTGCTCTTGTTGTTATTAAAGGAATAGTTCACCCAAAAATTTTATTTTGCTGATAATTTACTTAACCTTATTTACATCTTGAATGACCTGAGGGCGTTTTTTTCGTTGGAACAGATTTGGAGAAATTTAGCATTGCATGGATGGACCTTGTGAATGAGTGAAATAATTAAAGTGATTTAGATACATCATTTAGATTAATAATTTAATTAGAAAAGTATAAATACTCTTCTTATAACTTATCGTATTGTCCCGAATATAAGACAATGTTTTTTTCTTGGAAATACATCTGAAAAAACGCGGTCGTCTTATATTCAGGGTCTAGACTTTGACATGTCAATAATACACCCACAACAATAGGTGGCGCCAAATACGCATAAAACGAGTGTGCCATGAAATACGTAATGTAATGCGTGTTGTAAAGATCGCGAGTGAAAACAAAAGAGAAAGTCACGACTCATGCAGCTGTAAGGTTTTCTGTCACGTTAGCCTGATGGGACCAACTCTACTTCTGCTGTTAATAAGATTTTGGTAGGCTACTATTAGATGGATAGCCTAAATGTCCTAATTCAGATGGGCTACCTGTTTTTTTTTTTTTTTATGGTATATCATAAAGTGTATATTTTTTAAATGTGATTGTTGGTACATTTTAACAGTTTTTACCATACTTTCAAAACAAAAATTAAAATAGGAAAAATATGCAATATGAAAATAATTGAAGACAAAATGTGTTTTACTGAGAAAAAACAAGATTTGGTTTTTAAAAAGCCTTTTTCCAAAAGGTACATCTGGAAAAAGGGGGGTCGTCTTATAATCAGGGTCGTCTTATATTCGGGCCAATACGGTATATACTCTGTTTTTTCTTTTTTGTTAATTTATTCTTTAATATTTGGTTACATGTTATTTTTAGGTGTCCTTGTTACAGTGTAATTATACATTTAAGTACTGAGTAATATTAATTAACTACATGTGCTTATTATATGGTTAGGATTAAGGTTTGGCTTACTTGCATGTAATTATGGATAATTTTTTGTTATTATAATAGTAAGTACATGTAACAAGGTCACCGTAAAATAAATTGTTAGCTAATATTTTAGTGCATTTCACACAGAAAGGAAAATGGATCCTTGTATGCCATCACATGTATATTGCCAGAAAGTTGATCTGCCCTCAGTAAAAATAGAGGTGCAAAATATGCAAAGAGGTGTTCATTTACACACAAACTTATGATGATTATTATAAAACCAAATTGGTAATTTGTGTTATTTAGATAAAAAAATCTAATAAAAAAGGTAATTATTTATTTTGAATGGCATACAACATAGATTTAATCATAATAAAACGATTTCAATATGTAATTTTTATTTTATGTTTTGCAATTAAATAAAAAATAAAAAAAATTGATTGTCTAATAGGGTACTTAAAGAGATGCTCCACCCAAAACTAAAAATTCTCTCATTTACTCACCCTTATGTCGAAGATGTATAACTTTTTTCTTAGATTTATATATATATATATATATAAAACCATGTACGAGTTCATATAATACAAGAGAATGGGTCTCTTAAAGTTGAAATTTTCTGACATCTATGGTCAAGAGAAAGTTATCGATCATATATATCTTGTAATCATGGAAGTTTATTAGTGAGAAGTTGGGAGTCTTGTCCACTTTTCTCTTTTTACAAAAAAACTGTTGATTTCTTACATTCATTTGAATACAAAAAAAGGGCAAACGCTGTCACTGGTTGTTGAATTGTTTTATTCCATATATACTGTTTTTTGGGGAAATCGTTCTAAACACAGACATGCTGCATCACTGCACAGCTCCAGATGATAAAGTCTGCGGGCAAAACAACCGAGAGGTGAGAGATGTGAAGAACACAGAAACAAGGGAAATTCAGTAGTATGGAAGATTTCAAGAAACAGACATTATGTGCATATCTCACTATTGTTTTTCTAACTTTATGAACATAGGTAACCAACCAAACTTCATCTCATTATATCACACTGACATTGCCCGTAACAATATTTTCAGTCATGTGAAAATACAGTACGCAGGTTATTTTCTGACTGTCATGTTAACTCTGACGAACGCGTCATGTGCGCATATTATATACACACACATATACAGGCGCTGACCAAACAACATAAACAACAAACAATTTATTAATACAAAGGCTCTAATACACAACAGGACCCTTTCCCTTCACACAGTACCTTCAGTAATTCTTTTAATGCCTGTATAGTGGGACCCTGCACCTCAGGATTGAGGCCAGAAACAAGCCTTATGCAAACATAGGTACAAATATGCCATCAATACATTACAAGTGAGCTCCTCATTGTACTCTAGGTTAAGTTACCTTCAAATACTGCCTGTGCCATAAAACCATACATGTTAGTGTTCAGGTAGGTAACTTTTAACAGTGTAACTAAGTTATTTTCTCCATACTGCTCCACCAGGACAGTAGTTGACATAAAAAAGTGACCATTGGAGGACGAAGTTAATGCTAATGCGTGCTATAGCACCCCTTGTGACAGTTCTGAGAATGCAACATGTAAAGTACTTGAATTGTGTTAGGAACTGCACTTTGATACGTCAAATGCAACAACGCAAATCGTGCGCTCACATAGTTGCGTATCTTTGAGCAAGGTAGAAATCTAACGCTATGACCTTCAGAACCTGGGGACGAGATGACACGAGTTATTTGAAAAAAAACAACAACATTCCAACTATCCCAGTTTGTAGCATTTTCCATCAAAATGACTAAATCATTTTGATAAACGGCATGAGAACTTTATTTTTCTGGTCTCTCTGTATCATCTCAGTGAGAATTTATTACATTTTCCTCATCCACCACATCAGAAGACACTAAAATCATCTTACGGTGCATGAGAAATTTTGGAAATGGCTAGTGTGGACGCAGAGCATTTTGAAACAAAAAGCATTCTCAAATGTATCCAGATGAATGTAGACAGGCGTGTATGCAGGCTGCTGTACTTATATTGTTTAATGAGTTTTTTCATATACAGCAGGGTTGTCCAACTCTGTTCCTGGAGGGCCACTGTCCTGCAGAGGTCAACTCCAACCCCAATTAAACACACCTGGGGCCTCATTTATAAAATGTTGCGTATAAACCGTCCTAAATTTGTTCTAAGATCATTTCGCATAAGTGCGATTCAGAGAAAACAAACGTGCGCACAAAAACACGTGCGTACGCCTCTCTTCCAGATGTGACATTTATAAATCGCAAATGATCTTGAAATTGTGTGCAGCTGACGGGTGTCAGAGCTCCGCCTTGTAAACGCCCCCTAATTAATATCATTACCATATAAAAGAGCACACGCCAATATCCGAATTTCTATGCTTGAGAATGAAGTGCACAAAGAAAAGTCTGAAACTGAGGTCCTGCTGGCGGAGGTAGAGGTACGTGCGGGGATGCTTTTTATTTAATAATGTGTAATTATTCTGCGGACAAACAATGTGTGTGGTTATATTTTTTTCTATTGGCTATTATCAAAATTACTACTTCTAGAAACAACAGAAATAATAATAATAATAATAGTAATTATAAAACGATTAGGTTTCCAAAAGTAAGAATAAACTACGAATTCAAGTAAAATTTTCAGTCATCTTATAAAAAGTGAGCCATCCTACTTTTAAAATCACTTGCATTTGCACATACATTGCTTTTATTAAAACAAAGTTTAAGGCTGATGTCTATTCATTTTCATAGAAGCAAAGCAGCAGATGTTATAAATAAAAACAGTTAACAATGTTATCGAATAGAATATATTAAAACCGTTATTGCACGACATAGGCCTATTCTTATAGGCTACAAAACGGTCGGAGATGCGTTTATGCATTTTTTTTTTTCTATTTTACACATTAGTAGTAAATCAAGACTTTGTAAGTTCTCTTGTAAAATTAAATAAAAAAACATGGAATAAACTGTGTACAGAAAGCGAATAAAGAAGGCTACTAAAAAGTTCAGTTTAATCTTCGCAAAAACTCCCGTTAATAAAAAATCTGACTACACTGCACAATTAATCTCTTACACTGCATCTTTGTTGTTTATGATGAATTCGGTGCTTGCACGTACACCGCTTTTATTATTATTGCAGCTTAGATGTTCAAATAGCTGCAGTACTCCGACTTTGCCACAAGGAGAAGTGCGTACGTCTGCTCAGACCCTGACGTGGCGGTAAGTACTTTTCCACGTCAAAGACCGTTTTTATAAATATGAACGTCGTCGTGGATTTTAGCGTACGCACACTCTAAGATCAAATCTGTGCATATGCAAATTTTATAAACAAGGCCCCAGCAATCCATCATAACTTATGGAAGTAAACTGCTATTGATGACGTGTAATTTACATCTTTGCATTCTCAGAGTATAACTGTTATTAATGGCAGCGTATTATTTGCCTTTGGTACCTTGTATAACCAGGGGAGAAGGGTGGAATCAAACTCTGAATTGGACCAAGAAATCAACCAAATGTTCACACTTGGTTTTGTGAAAACCGATATATATTACAGTTCAGTATTAGGCTGTTTGTGTCATGTGGTTTAGGACTCTGCATGCATATCTATAAAGGAAATCATAGTTATTCCCTACAACTCCCTGTCCCGTTCGGAAGGTTACAGCACAGTATAAGGAGCAAACATCAATGACAAAAACACTTTCAGAACACAGCTGGTTAAGCACATTGTCACTCTCATAGGGGGGGAAAAATACCTCTTACCACAGTTCTCTGATCTCTTATACTGTGGCCATGTATATACTGCAGTCGTCACTCTTTTCAGTGCCTAAAGGGACCGAAAATTCTGTCATCATTTACTCACCCTCACAGCAAAATACAGCTCATCTCTTTTTGTACATAAAATAAAAATCTATGCGAATTTAAACATTTCAAAGTAATCCATACAACTCCAATTATTTAAATCAAATTTCTGGATTTCTTTACTGTTATTTCCTTTTTGAAGCTTAAAATCTCTGGGCCCCATTGACTATAAACAATGATATGTAGCCTAC